GAGAAATAAAAATATTTTTATTGATATTATTAAGACAGAAGAACTGTCTCCAGGAATTGTATAAATTGTCATTATCTGTGTTTAGTTTATTGCACTTTAAATAGTTTAAATGTCATTTGCTAAGGCGTCGCTCAACAGCGGCCTCGCTTCGTACACTCTATCATTTAGCCTCGATCCGGGAGTATGGTGTCAACATAACGGTTAATCTCCACTCACGACGCCATTTAAAATTAAATCAGTCAACGAAATCCCGTCTAAATCCAAGCTGAATCCAAGTCATCCGTGGGTCTACAGAGTTGATTTTGTGCTTGTTGTGTAAATAAAGATCTAATTTATAATTTCTATGACATCTGAATATCTTTATTCTGCAAGTTTATCATTAAATAATGCACAAAATTATACAGCTTAAACATCGGTTGAGACATGTTCGTCTGTATTATCTCGAGCGCTCGACTTAATTATCTTGAGTGCTCGACTTTCAAGCGCTCGACTTAGTATCTCGAGCGCTCGGAATATTATTTCTTTTTTTTTTGTTCAAAATCAACCACCGTAACTCAGATTATGCTGGCTACGGGCCTGAAGCAAATCTTATTGTCATCATGGTGATTATGCAGTTTTTATATTAATTAATGTTTGAATAACAAATAATATAAACAAACCTTTATTTAAGTTATTTTTTCTGAGATTGAGAGATATGTTTGTATCAACATTCCTGCAGATAACTGTTGCCACTCGCCAATCCACCAGTCATCCACACTGCTTGAGGATGCTCTACCAAGTGCTAAATTTATTGCCCGATTGACTTGAAATTTATACACACCTAGGTAGCCTAAAAATGATTTTTCATAATTACTTTTGTTCACTTTGAAAAGTCTTATGGTCCTTCTAGTCTCTAGACAAAGAAACTATTGATTAGGTGCTAAATTTATCAATCGATTGACTTGAAATTAATACATAAGGGTTTCTGTTCTAAAACAAAAAATCCTGTAGATTAATCTAATAATCTAAACAGCAAAAATTATCTTGATTTGTTTTGGTTCATATAAGGCAAGCGCGCTGTATCACGAGGCCTGTCATTGAGTCAACTGGCATGGTTTCAAATCTCTGGTTGTACGTGACAAGGAGTAGGGTTGCCTGTCCAACCTCGTGGGTTTTCTCCGGGTCCCTCCCACTGCTAAAGACCCCTACGGGCAAGCGAATTATTGAAATAAAATTAAACCATGTTAGTCCCGAAATGACCTAGTCTGTGTCGAGTGGACGTTAAACCCCATTTCTCTCTCTCATATAAGGCAAAGAGGAAAACTGTCAAATTAAAATTATATCTGATAATTACTTCATTGATTACTGCTCTTGATCACTTTTTAGTTTCTTGTAAATGTTGCCTTGAACTAAAAAAAACTGTTAGCCTGGAACAGTCTGAATTGGCAAAAGCCCATCTTCCCAAAATCTCTTGTTCTGTATTTGTGTTAGAAATCACAGTTCTGCTTGAAGTAAACATTAGCTTTCAGTTCCACTTTAATTTGATAGTTCTTGCCATGTCTGTGTATTTTGTCTTGTCCGCAGGTTTCTCTTAAAGGGACAATAAAACTCTTGCTGGCTTGACAGCTCCAGAAAATAAAAAATAGCCTTATTCTAAGTACTAGATGTGTTAATGTCCTACCTGTTGTGTAAATTATCCATTAAATCCTATTTTACTTGTCCAAAGGGTTCAAAAATATTTTTAAATCCAAGTCACATTTGAAAAGCTTTACGTCAGGCTTTTCAAATCATTTAGTTGAATTTTTACAATTTTTTAAATTAGGTGTGTTAAGATGAAATATGTATCATCAATTAATTGGAATATTGTAAAATAGTACAATTTGTTGACCAGAATAAAGATTAGGACATATTATTCAGTTACAACAAGAGTGGTATTGAGCCTTTAACGGATTTGTTTGTGCGTAGTGTGGTCCTCTTGCACTTACTATTGAAAATGGGTATAATATCATGATTCAAGTTGACAAAAGATAATTGCACAAAATTTGTTAACCAGCGGCTGCCGGGCAGGATACGCCCACATTTTGCAAGAGATGGATAGAGAACAAGCTAAAAACAAAAAAGATTTTTTGTACAATCAGGGGCCATAATCCAAAAAGTTATGGTCTTAAATGCGCAAATATCAAAAGGGACTGAGATTTTTGGAATATAAAGATATATTTTAAGTTTCATCAAAACTTGATAAAAATTCTGACCTCTAGAGGGTCCATAACCTTTGTATTACATACTTATACACAATTTGCGTACACAATTTGCCATTTTGTCGGGCAGTTTCATTTTAATTTTCCCGAATTTCCAATTCAACCTTCATTATGATGGAATGGTGATGTATCTGAACGGTTTTTAAAATCGGAAAAAAAACTGTGACCTCTAGAGAATCCACAAACGAAAAATGTGATTTTTCGACCAATCAGGGGCCATAATCCAGGAAGTTACGTTCAGATATGTGTGATTATCCAAAGGAACCAAGATCTTTATGATAAAAACATATATTTAAAGTTTCATCCAAATCGGATAATAAAAACTGTGGCCTCTAGAGGGTCCACAACCTTGATATACCATATTTTTACACTATTTGTGTACAATTTTTGTTCGATTTTCATGAAATTCGAACTCAACCATCAATAGTGTATGACTGTGATATATTCACACATTTTTTTAAAATCAGATAAAAGTTGTAATCTGTATGTGATTTTTCGACCAATCAGGGGCCATAATCCAGGAAGTTACGTTCAGATATGTGTGATTATCCAAAGGAACCAATATCTTTATGATAAAAACATATATACTATTCAAAAAAAGTAGGGGATATTTGATTTTTAAGTATTATTAAAGTCACCTAATGAAACTGACGAAGAAACAAATGACAAAATGAAATGAAGTTCACATTCATCGATTTATTCCAAATGATCGTTAGACTAAGTAAGGCACAGACTGACCATTATAAGGGTAAAATGATACCCGGGTCAAACAGCAAAGTTACCACAGCATCACAACCAAGTCAGTAACGGGTAAATCCTCCTCTGTTTGCCAAACAAGCATTGATCCGACGTGGCATACTCCTAATGAGACGTCTAAGGTCATTTTGGTCCAGATTGTCCCATTCCTGTTGCAACGCAGCAGCAAGTTCTTGGACATTGGCAGGACGTTGTTGACGTTGACGTAACCTCTGTCCAAGCATGTCCCAGACATGCTCGATGGGGGAGAGGTCGGGACTCAGTGCTAGCCAAGGTAATGTGGTGATGTTCTGTTGTTGGAGGTAACCTGTAACGATCCTGGCCCTGAGACATCTTGCCAAGATGTTGTCCCGGTAGTACTGGCCTGTAACACGCCCTGCAACAACATGTAAAGCCGTTCTTCCAGTAACAGTGATGCCTCCCCACACCATAACAGAACCACCCCCAAATTGATCATGTCTGATGACGTTAACGTCTTGGAAGCGCTCGTTTCGACGACGCCACACCCTCCTACGTCTGTCCAAAAAATCAACAGTGAACCTTGACTCATCTGAAAACATCACATTGCTCCAGCGTCGATTATCCCAGTGTTGACGATCCCTACACCAATGACGTCTTGCCTGAATGTGATGATCTCTCAAACAAGGGATCACGCGAGGACGTCGGGCGCGAAGGTGACCCCTATGCAGTCGATTCCGAATCGTCTGGCCACTCACTCTCACACCAGTGTCTGTTTGAAGACGAGCGCTGATCTGATTTGCTGTGATGACACGATTTCTCAAGGCCAAGGTACGGATAAATCGATCCTGGGCTTGAGTTGTCGCCCTTGGTCGACCTGAGCGTGGTCTGTCCTGTACAGATTGTGTATCACGGTATCTGGACCATAGCCTGCTTATGACAGACTGAGAAACATTCATCGTCCGCGCCACAACCGCCTGTGTTGTGCCGATCTGTAGCATGCCAAGGGCACGTAACCTTTCATTTTGGGTAAGCCGACGCATATCAAAATTTGTTTTCTGGTCACTAAAACAATTAAACTGATGTTTCCACCCTGGAATTCAATGCCACAATGACTGTAACATTCAAAGTCAGAGTCGTGCAAATCTTGGGTTGGACCCCCATGATGATCCCAAGCATCACCTGCATTCCATGCGGTAGCTATTGGTGCGTTTGGGCGTCACATGTAACTGGAAATGTTTCTTCTGTTAGGTTCTATAGTGACTTTTTTCGTAGTCATTTGCATATTTTAGTATTATGCCCCCAAAATCAAATATCCCCTACTTTTTTTGAATAGTATATTTAAAGTTTCATCCAAATCGGATAATAAAAACTGTGGCCTCTAGAGGGTCCACAACCTTGATATACCATATTTTTACACTATTTGTGTACAATTTTTGTTCGATTTTCACGAAATTCGAACTCAACCATCAATAGTGTATGACTGTGATATATTCACACATTTTTTTAAAATCAGATAAAAGTTGTAATCTGTATAGGGACCGCAAGGTAAAAACGTGATTTTTCGTACAATCAGGGGCCATAATTCAGGAAGTTACCCTCCGATATGCACAAAAATCTAGAGGAAACAAGATATTAGGGTTATAAATATGCATTTTAAGTTTCATCAAAATACAATCAAAATTGTGACCTCTAGAGAGATCACAAGCTAAAAACGTGATATTTCGTACAATCAGGGGTCATAATCCATGAAGTTATGGTCCGATACATGCGAATATCAAAAGGAACCGAGATATTTGGGAGATGTACCTATATTTTAAGTTTTGTCAAAATCGGCTAAAAATTGTGACCTGTAGAGTGTCCATAAACAAATTGTGGACGTCCGGACGGACAGGGGCGATGACAATATACGTCCACATGAAAATGTGGGCGTATAAAAAGGGTCTAAATGTCAACACAGATTGTGCATACATTACAAGTTATCCAATTGAATTTACGCATAATTTTGAGAGACCTATTTTAGAAACAATATCAAAGACATTCACAGTAGAGGGTTAAAATTATGTTTTTTAATGTTGTAAAACTTTAACAGTAACAATAATGTTTACATCACAAGAGAAATTCATGTGTTGATAATATTTATGAGCCACCATCACCATCCATAGCAACTTCTGCTTGAGCACGGACGAAATAAGCTCCTTGTTGATAATACTCAAATAACTTCACATAATATGGACGACCAAATATTTCCGTAGTTGTGGGTGAGTTGACAAGAGTTTGTATAACAAGATACTTGGAATCTCGACCTTCTTTACTTGTTTCTGTTGATCGGTCCAATAAAAATTCCATAAAACCAGGTAAATTGTTCATTATTTTCTGTGCCCATGGTAATGTGGCAAGAGTTCTCATAACATTATAACCAGAGCATCGGATTTCATCAAAAGGCCGCTGACACAAAGACCAGATAAATTGAAAAGGATCCGCCATTAATGTATTAAACCATTTTTCTGTGAGACTTAACAATTCTTCAGTTTGTTCATCTTCCTGTAAAATCAAAATACAAGTATTAGAAAATATGATCATTTGAGGAATTTTGAATACCCACGAAACTACAATACTGTTCATGTTGAATCTCTAAAAGGAATATCAGTCCAAAAATAGTTAATCAATTCTGTTCATTATTTACAAAGATATGATGATCAAAATGTTGACTTGATGCATTCACAAGTTATTTTGAAGTACATGTATTAAGGGAAATAACTCCACAGATAACTGACTAATCGTTGGTTATATAGGTTTGTTCTAATGTGACTTTGGTAATTGTATCCTGCTCCTCGTGGGCATTTTTATGCAATAAAAATTTATCTTATCTTATCATTCAAATTCAAACCTGTCTGAGATATAAGTTTACATCACATTGATGGCGCACTCAGAAAATTGTCAAAAAAATTCCCAAAGATTGCTTTGGACAAAGAACACAATCAAAAGAAATAATTCATAATAACAGCTTGATTTTGTGGGTTGTCATTATAAATATATAATTAAACATATAAATATGAATATTTTCATCCCATCTAAATCCCAATGTTCAGAGTTATAATCATTTGAAAATTGTTCCACATTGCCCTTTGTTGGCTTTGGCTGCCTTTTATCAGACTGGAGAATTGATGAAACACACCTGCCTTGGTTTTTGAGAAGCACACCCGTCAATTGTTTGGTCAGACATTTTTAAGCCCGTTGGAAAAGGTGCCTAAGATAATATTTCATGGTTTCCTTTTCTTGAAATGTTTTGTACTCATATATAACATTTTGTTATCATTACATACATTCTATATTCATTTATGATACATGTACCTTTAAAGTAAGTAAAGATACTAAGGAATCCAATGCTCTTAATTGGAATTCAACTTTTGTATCTTTAATAATGCTTCCCAATACTCGAACTCCATTATCCATCAGACTGCCTGAAACAATAATACAAATAATTTCATTGAGATTTGGATATTAAAATCTGCTGTTCCATATGGCATTCTGGACTGTTTCCAAAGGGTATTATCACTATCAGTCTTGTTACACTTGATGCACATACAATGTTTTGAATGTATCTTGTTTATCAAGGATAGGGAGGGCCTAAAATACAGGCTAAGGATCTTAAATTGGTGCATAATTGTAGAAAGTTTGCATTCTTTATGCTAAAAAGCTAAATTTTAATATGGGGACTTACATTCCCAACACACAGGAGCTAAATTAGGTTGATCTGATGCGTTATCAGCATTAGTCAAGGAACAGAATGTAATTGAGTAAATTTTCATTTCAAAGTCAGTTTGTTTACTAATTTTAGTATCATTTTTGGTATAAACTATTAAATCTGGACACTTGTTCTATCCATGGATCTCAAAATTTAAATGTAGGCAGATTCACAAAAGAAATTTGTTAAATCAATGCTTTTCATTTATTAGCCTAATCAAGAGGGCCTGGTCATTTTAAGAATCACTACTATTGGAGAGAACTTATATAGGCCTTTGCCTGTTGTTCAATCCATTTCAGTTTATTGAATAAAATATTGTTTAGATTAATCACTAATATTATGAAAATTATAGTTTTACCTAATTTTTCTAAGGTTTGTTTTCCTTCAACTGTACTTCCTAGAAATCCAAGTGTGTCAATGGCAACATTTTTCTGGCCAACATCATTACTACTCAAATTGTTAAAAACAACATTGACAAATGCTGGGAATTTTTGACACACTTCCTTTGGATGATGTTTAGACATACCACCAAAAAATTTCACCAAGCCTGAAAAAAAAAAGATTATTTACTTTAAAAGTTTAAATATGATATGACAATCACAAAATAAATACATGTACGGTAATAAGTAAAAATAAAACAATATTTTGGCAATATTAATATTAAATGTTCAATACTGATGGCAAAAACCCTTAGAACTTTGTCCTGTAGTTCGGCCACAGAAACCAAATCAGAGTTGGGGTGGGCGATTAATAATTGTATGGACTTCACAAGCTTTAACAGTCAAATGAGAAAGATAACTCTGAAAAATATGATCTTATAACCAATGTCATCTCAAGTTTCATAAATTTGTCCATACACAAGAGAAGAATTCTTGCATTCAAAACATTCTGAGTTCCTGTGGGCACATTAATTTCCTTTGTGCACACATAGCCAAAGGTGTTTGCAAGCACACACATGCACAGTTTAGATGAGAGAATCCACCAAAATTCCATTACTGATAAACTTCAGTCAAATTATGACTGAAAAGATAACTCTGCAAGCTTTCAATGAACCATATTGAACTATCCCACAAATATTCTACCAAGAACACTGTTCTGTATTGCATTTACAGAATTTCCTAAGTTTGTTGAACATAAATGAAGAAATGTGTGCATGTACAGCTGGATGCTTAAATACTTTTTGGATAGTAAAGGACAAAAATAGTCTCATTTAACATTATTATAATTAAATTACTTCTACAGTGATTTCTGGATACATGCAACTTAAACTGATACTGTACCTGGCAGAAGTAAACCAGCCAATGCATCTGTTTCTGTGGCTTTCATTAATTCCTCTAATTTAATTATAACCCCAGCTTGATCTAGATAAACTAGACCATGCTGTACTTGAGCTAAATCAGACAACATTTCAATAGCATTTAACTGAAGCAAGATGTCATTTTTAAAAATTTCATTTGTTAACTGTTTCAAAAGTCCACTTTCTTCTGACATTTGTAAACCCTCCTGAGATTGTCGACTGATATCAATTATTATCTGTAAGTAAATAATAAATCTAATTATTTAACTTCCATGGTTCAACTTTTAAATAAAGACCAATGTCCACATTTTAAAAAAAAAAAGTTACTAACAGTTATTAACAGTGTGATTGCCCTCGTCACTGAGAACTTAACAATGACTTTACTGGACTGGTTGTGCACAGTTTTTGAGATTTCCTTTTTAAACCTTGCTGAGATTGTTTGTCCGATAATAAATACACCACCGATCGCAAAACAAAACATGGAAATATTGAAAATACCAATTTTATGGAATTAAAAAATGTGGCTTTTATAATGCTTGGGTCATTACAACTCCTACAGTTCTATGGGTGATGCAATGTTATGCCAAGGTTGACACCTGAACACCCAGAACAAGCCATGCATTAAATCAAGAGAGCAACAGCACCAGAACCACTGTACTGGACAAGAATCCCATAAGAAGTCATCCAGAAGTTTTTCTCTCCAAACACCAAAGTTGCATGGTGTGTATGTGTGGTTGCTAGAGGTGGACACACATGATACTGACTTTTGATTATTACCCCTTGGGCCTATCTATATTTCACTGTAAAGTATAGTTGTTAGGCCTCCCTGGATTGTTGATTTTCTTATGTCAACAGTGAGTAGGGCAATGTATTGCTAACCTGGAGGTCCCTGCTTCAATCCCGCAGTTGGCTGAGATTTTCCATCCAGTGGTATCCCCTAGGATGGAGGGCTGGCAAGGAACAGTATCTAGTCGTTAGGAAGGGGTGTTGCGCGAAAACAAACCCTTGACTGTTAGAATTTGATATAAGACTTCATTAGCCTGATAGAGCAGAAAAGTAGGATGTTAAACCCTATTTCATTTCATAGTCTCAGTATTACCTGATACACTCTAAATCTAACTATATCGTTTTTCTCCATAACTTCTTTCAACATACTTTGGTTGTATAAACTTATAGCTCCATTTTGTGTTTTTCCTAAAATATAATAATATGCTATAATATTTCTATTACAACCAAATGTCTCAATACTAGGGTGACCCACCATAAATAAATATCTCCAAATATTTCGACAATTACGCCACAATATTTATATATATGCCAAGCCTCAAATCAGTTTCACACAATTTTAGTCACTAAATAAACGATCATGTTGTACTTAATAAGCTATGACCATTAATCATCTATAAATAAAAGACTGAAAACTGGTTCCATGTGTCGTCCATAACATCCAGACACTTTTGAGTAAAAGATAGGTTACGTGCCCTTGTTTTGAAATTAGTCTCGCTTAACCAGTCTATCGACCATTCTACATCTGATTGACAGGTCGGGATAATCAAGACTACTTTTTTACGAAACATAACAGAAAGCTAGAACAAGAAATTGAATTTAGAAATAAGCACTTTAGACAACTCAACAATTGTTTTAAGAAACTTGTAAAAGTAAAATGAAACTACTGCTAATATCATGTTCCTGCTAAAGAAAGTGATTCAGAGATAGTATTTGTACTAAACCAAAAGAAGCCGCTCTTAAGGTACAGTTAATGATAAAGCAATTTAAAAAATAAAACAAACGTAATTTCTAAAGCTGCTGTAATAACCAAGAAGCTCAATTTTACTGCTATTCAAAATCGTCAACAATAGATTTTTTACGGCTGTAATAGTTGATATATTTGTAGAGAATTGCACGTGCCATGGCTATTTATCAACTCAAAGAGAGTGCGGGGTAGTCAGAAATCAGTTTGAGACACGCAACTGAAGCGTGCACATTTAGCCGTGTCGAGACCAACTTTCTGTAGAGTGCACGGGTCACCCTATCAATACTTGAATAATTGTCTGTATGCATATATTGTTCAAGAAAATATCCAATTTCTATCTTCATGATTTGCAGTAGAAACATCCAACAAACTTCATTTAATTTCTTTGTGATATTGTTACTTTGCATAAGTTCTGATCGACTGATTGATTCTATTTTTTATATATTATTGTGTTCTGAGACCGTAGACCATATTAAAGCCACTTCTGTCAAAGTTTCACAAAAATGAATTTGATACCAAGTTATGTTATGCATTGAGAAAATTTCACTTCGGTAGTGAGCATTTGGTCTCTTTACTCAGTTTAGTTGTAAATCCACAGGTAAATTGTGTTAGATAATTAAAGGCGGTTCATTTAAGGTCAGCATTTAAACATTATTTCTTAAAATAGTATGGTAATCGCATTACAAGAGGAATAGACTCAATTCATACCTAAAATTGTTAAAATATCACCAGCTATCTTGGCCACAGCAAGATTTTCATTTCCGAGCTGAGATATTATCTTCGGTAAGATATCCAACCATCCAATCAATCGGTTAGGTTCTGTCTTGGCTACTCGTAACAACTTTTAAAAAGCAACATAAAAACATTGTTAAATATATAAAGAATGCAGAGCTGTATTGGTAATCAATTACGATAATAGACAATTGATTGATTATCATGCTTTCAGATAAAATAAATTTTGTGATGTGAACAGACTACCTTTTTATGCTCAGGGATACATATCTTTAATATGTCCTTATACATGATAACCAATATATGCAATATGACAACTGTTCCAAACGAGTGTGGCTAGTCATTAGCAATCTTCCCATTAAAACTCATGTTTAAGTTCTTGTATTCCAATTAAATTTACCTGTGTTAGGCATAAACAATTTACATCAGGTGCTGGGTGAGATAGACCATTTTCAATTTCTTCCTTGAAGTTGTCACAGATTTCTGATGGAGGTAAACCAGATAATAATCGTTCTATTGTTTCACAAACTAATTTTTGTTGTTCTCTGAAAGAGTGGAAAAATATTACTAGCAATGTTAATGTAGATATAACTGTACATTTTGAATTTGTTGTCCACTATACGTGCCTGAACAAAGTAAAGTGTAAACTAGTTATCAACTTTTGTCTCTTCAGATTTTATGATCAGAATATCATTTATGGTACCATCTATAAGATCTAGCTTGTTGGATTACCGTGTAGTAAACTTCCAGCCAGAGTCTATTGCCAAAAATCACATTTCATCTGTTTTATGTTTCGCCAGCACTGTCAGTCAAATCAGTGCATTTTTATGTATGAAGTGACTTCAAGTGTAACTGTAAGCTTATTTAATAAGCCCCTGGCCCCGAGTTCATGAAGCATTCTCAATCTTCAAGTTAAAAATTTACTCAAAATTGTTTGCCTTATTTTAACTAAGATATAGCCCCTTAAGTTATAAAACTGGTGTTGTTTTAATGTAGGCCTATCAAATACATTAATAAGAAACAATGTGCAATTTTTTGTGTTTCTGAATCAAAGATATTTCTTATAAACAGTGATTGAAAGTTGAGTAAATTCTTAACTTAACTCTGAGAATGCTTTGTGAAACCGGGGCCAGGTTCAAGTTCAAGATGATGGCTTTATGACTATCAGTATCACGTTAGATGACAACGTTTAAAAATGTCTATGATATGATCATATGGATCCTCCATATTATTACCACTAAGATCTAGCCTAATTGAAATTACTACGATAGAATAATCTTGGCTTTATAGCTTACACGTTTGTTGTATCTAAATACGTAAAAAGTTGAGAAAAGTTTGGAATTTCAGAGCTGACATCTCTGAGAGTTGATGGATGGATTGTATACAGCACGGCTTTCAGTTCTTCTAAATCGTTCAATGGATCAGAAGATATAGTCAAGCGTTGAAGAATTTCACAAACGGTTCCAGTTGTCATTTTCGATAATACACTTCTCTAGTTATAAATTGATAAGGTGAAGTTAAAAAATTTTAAATTTTCAAAATTTGCCAATTCATAAAAGATGGTTAGAGTTATTTCCCATCTGCGATCTTTCGTAAATGAGGCACTTTAATCGGAGAACGCTAGATCCAATCTGTTTTACAGAGAATTATGAGTCTCGTATAATACCTCTGTCATAGATGACTGCCTTAACACGTGCTGTCACAGCACGCGGTGTGAATCATTGGCTGAATGACGCGTGCATTGTTTACATAAGACATAACTGCTTCGGAGAGAATGCTGCATTTTAGTCATTTTAATACCCATTTACACTATATTTTTACCTACAAATACGTCAAACGCCTTTATTTATTTTTCCAATATATACAAAAAATGTTTTAGAATTTAATTTGTCGCAGGAAAAAAGTTAATATTCCTAGCTCATTAAGCCGCATCAATGTCATCCTTATCAGTGATTGTCGCGGCCAAGCAAATATTCACTGCGGATCAGTGTGCGCTAGATCGGCGACGGTCCTGCACCTTTTAGTACATATGACGTCATATGTGGATTAGGACCTGCAGATTTCGTCAAAGTCTCGAGATGTAAACAGGACTAGCACTAACCCTAACACTGGACCAAGCCTAACCCTCACACTAACTCTAACGCACAGTACACATAATGACATCATATGTGTAGGACCGTCTCCGATCTAGCGTTCCCCGCTTTATAATCAAGGCCACTAAATCTAGCCTTGGTTATCAGGACAGAAAGAATAGGGACTGTAACAACCCCATTCGGCAAACCTCGACAGATTCGGGTACTCTGGATGTAGGGTTAGATCCATTGACGTCAATGGTTAGATCTATTTGATAAGGCCAACTTGGTGAGTTACCCCCAAGTCCAGTCGAATATATCAGTCGATGGCTGTTTAAAATTTGGGAATTCGCACTTGTTCAAATATCGTTTATCATCGTTTTTATTTTCCCCCATTTTTAAATTTGATTACATGTATTAAAATTAAAACTGTAATGCGATTTTTCTTCAATCCTAAAAACAATTCATACATACCCTTTGCGACTAAGGTCATCAACTAGGGTTACAGATCAACGACTGCCTGCATGATGAGGTCATTGACTGAAATAAATGGCAGTAGCCTACTGTAAATTATGGTGGCTGATTGGTATCATGTCGTGATGTCGTGGTGTCGCCCTTCATAAGGCGACAATCCGACATCACGACATTATAACCCGACACCACGACAACCCGACATCACGACTTCACAACATTTTTAACCCGACATTACGACATTTTCACCCGACACCACGACATTAAGAATGTTGTAATGTAGCGTAAAAATGTCGTATTGTTGCGTAAAAATGTTGTGATGTCGTGATATTGGGTTGTCGACTTTATTATGTTAAAGCAGCCATGAATAATAGAGTGCTGCCCTTGCCGATGTCAAGTCAGCCCTCGCCATCTCATCCTTCACAAAGAAAACTTACCCTTCACTATAACTGCGAATTAAGCTGACCCTCACTACCAAATTCTCTGGATGACCATAACTCGAGCTTTCGATAAATAAAATGAATTGAATATAGTCTATTTTTAGTAACCCATTTCTTTGCTCAAAATAAAAATGTTTTTATCTCTTCTAAAGTATGTAATCATGAATGTGCCAGAAAATAACAAGTAGATTTAAAGAGCCATAGAAACCTACTTTCCAGTGATGTATGACACAATAACCCCACCCCCACCACTCTCTTTAATTCAGCCAGTGAAGGCTACCAAACTTGTATCAATTTTAATTTTAAAAAGTATATATGCATTCCGCCGAAAATATAATAAATACATTTCAAGAGAGGATTAACTTTACTTTTCAGTATAGATATACAGAATTTTGGATTAAGCCCCGCATTTTTATTTCAAATACCCCCCCCCCCCCCCCCTTTTCACTTTTCAAGGCAAGTAAATATAAATGAGCCAGAAAATGATTTATAGATTTGAAGAGAGAGAGAGAGAGAGAGAGAAAGAGAGAGGGGGGGGGGTTAACGTTCACTGGACACAAACTAGGTCATTTCGGGACTAACACATGGTTCAATATTATTCCAATAATTCGATTGCGCGTATTGGTCTTTAGCAGTGGGAGGAAAACGGAGGACCCGGAGAAAACCCACGAGATTGGACAGGCGACATTACTCCTTGTCACGTACAACCGACGAATCGAAACCACGCCAAACTATTAAAAGAAGATTTTAGCATAATCAAAACAGCTTGCAGGGACGTTATTTAGTGAACTGACTGGTTAATCGTGAACAATTTGGTAATGTCTAAAAATATCCACAAGAAATATCGACCCATACTGCACACAGAGATCCACCTCCTTCTCTTCATACTTCGCGGGGCTATTAGTAGTCACACAGTCTATCGAACAAGCCAGATTAAGGACTGGTTAACCGCGAACAATGAAGTCATATCTAAAGATAGTTTTTCTTGCACAACCCATAGAAATGGCATACATTTTCAAAAATAGACTCGTAGACTGATATAAAAACAAGACAACTTAAACGAATAGTCAGTATACCCACTATAAAGCCATTAGAAAACAACTCACAAGAGTGTTTGTACTTTAAAATGGTGCGTAAAATTTATAGAGGCGGTGTCTCTACCGGTAATACTCTGCGCGTCAGCAACTCTCGTTTCCTTCAACAGTATGCTTCGGAGGCGGGTATAACCTGCAGTGTTTCTGATGTTCCAGACGAAACCAAAATCAAAGAGGCGAAATTTCTTGATCAGAATGGAGTGTTTTACTCACTCAACAAAAAGGGACGCTGGCTGCTACCCGATTTAATTAAAGAAGAAATAGCCACAGGTTTAAGTGAATGTGAATGTAAGGTGTCATTACTTGAACTGCATAAACTGAACAAACCGAATAATTGCGTGGGGTATTTTGTTAACAAGGGACACACAAGACGTGTCTTGCCGAACAAAACCACCTACTTAAATAGAAAGAGTGTCGTTAAAGTTAATGATCGGCCAAAGAAGCGTCATAACAGAAACATTTACAGACGGGGTGGTAACCATGATGATATCATACACCCGGAAAAAGATGGACCTTCTGTAGAGTACCATGTTGTTTATCCAGGATCCTTAGGAAGTGCAATTTCGGATCCACGAACCTTATTAACCGAGTATTCAAAGAATAATACATGGGATCAAGCTTCCAAGAACAGAGGAAAAAAACAACGCCGACTTCTTAAGACAACAGAAAACGAAATCAATTCGGTGGAAAGTGATTTAGATTTTATACAAAATGTTTGCGAAGTAGACGAAAAAGCATCAGGGGAAGTTTACAAAAACTGTGGAACAGCGTCTAAATTATCTGACTACTTTCAGCGAGCTCGCCGTGCTGGTAACGGAACTTCGACTAAAAAGAAATCCAAAAGAAAGCACAACAATAGTCAAAATGCTGTTGTTTCTTCAAATCCAGAACACAAAACAAAGCATCTAAAACTGTTGCATGAGGAATATTTGTCGAAACAGACTACTATAGATGTAGAGGACATAGAACCTAATTATACAGAAAAAACATTAACCGAATCATTGGTAATTCCAGTAGATGTAATTCTTCCGAAGCACGAAGTTGGAAGCAGTTATCTTGAAAACAAATTTGCCAATACTATTTGCTTTGCCGAATGTCACCCAAGAAAGTTTACAATTGATATCACAGAAAATATTAAGAAGCAGTTCAAGCATTCCCATAACTTCAAAAGAACAGTCTTACAGAAATTTGACCTAACATCCTTTGTAGTTTTTGCTTTTAAGAAGAACTATGATAACCATCATGATGTCTACAGGGTTCATTTGAATATGGCTACCCATATATCAACAGTACGCATCGAAACTTTATTCGATATGATGTTAACCGATATGGACGATGTACTGAATCGCTGTTTCGTGTATTTTGATACCTTGCCACCAGAGTCATTCCTTTTGAAAGACGTAGTAGAAATTAAGTGTACCCCATCTGTTGATTTTGATAACATCCGACCTTATGTTCAAATGAAGTCGAATTCCATTTTCCCCGAGACTTTGGTATTTACAAAAACAACAGTTGCGAACACATACGCTGTTGACTTTGAATGGGTACTGGCAAACGACTCAGAAGAACGCTGCTGTAATATATGTTTTGAAAATATATCCACGCAATCCTGCATTTCGTCAACTTCCCTCCTTTCCTGTGGTCACGTGTTCTGTGATGGCTGCTGGCGAGAACATCTGCTTAATAATTTTAGAGCTGGCCTCCAGAAATGCCTGTGTCCAGAATACGACTGTGATAAAGATGTTGACGTTTGGACCATGGTCACCTTGGTAAATATTAGAGACATTAAAAGGAGACAGACCAGGAAAATTACCGATAATATTGATAATTCTTCTCCAACTCTAAAGTGGTGTCCCAACAAAAGATGTGGTAGAATCTTACAAAACCTTAACAGCGCTGATGACTCCGGGATGGCGGTGGTGTGTAAATGTGGGAGAGATGTTTGCTTTAGTTGTACTAGAGAGGCTCACTGGCCAGCTTCCTGTGAACAATTTGCTTTCTATTTTAATAAACTGAATGCTTTTGGACATGATGTATTGTCATACAACGACACAGTGCCTGCTATCCAGGTGTATGGTAAACATTGTCCCAAATGCAACAAATTCATCGAAAAGAACGGAGGGTGTCCCAGTATGGTTTGTGTTTGTGGAGCCCAATTTTGTTGGTCGTGTGTAAAATTATGGAGTGACCATACCTCGAGAGACAATTGTTATGTAAAGAAGGATTCTGAAGGAACAATGAAAAAAATAATCCGACATATTGAAAGAGAAGTTACTGGAGTTTTAAATCCTGCAGAAAGTAAGCTTTACCATATGGCTTTAGCTAACCGAACAGAAAGACAACACCAGAAAATTAAACACCTCCAATTAAAAGTAGATGAGTATAAATGCCGCGTTAAATGTTGGATGGCGAAGAATAATATGTCGAACTGTGATCTTGGTTTAAAGAACCCCAACAATTCAATTGATGACTTTTTAAAAGCTATGATAAATTTGAAAATTGAACTTAATTATGTATCAGAATTTTGTTTCGTCATACTCGACAGCGAACGAGACAAAAAGAGTGGGATTATTCAAAGTATTCGCTTTGCTGCAGTTCGATTGCAAGCATTAAGCGAACGTTTTTATGATTTATTATGTAATGACAATTTTTCCCATCTGAAAACTGTATCTAAATTAATCTCTTTGAGAGAAACTGCGACTTCTTCCATAATGACCGTTTCCGCTCTTGTTTGTAAATACAGACGAGTAATTAAGAAAAATTCTAATGTGTAAATGAGGGAAAATATATATATTTGACAATGTTTAATGTTTTATCTGCCATGTTTTTATTTATATGTACTTATAAAGTTTACATTGAATTTTATAAATATTTGTTTGATTTTATTTGCATGTTCTCTGTATACACACCGGTTTCAAATTAAAACCCCAATACAACTACAGTAGCAGGAAGCATGAGCGTCACACATGGGGGGGGGGGGTAGACCCTAACTCCTATTTATTTACAACAATTATAAGGGTTAGTTAAGATTCTATCTGTATAAAACCTGTACATATCACAATATGGTTTACATTTCTAAAATAAAACACAGAGAGAATCATCCTTGAAACATGTGTGAAGTGAAAAGTAACTGTGTTCCATAAAATTGTGTCTAGTTAACTTTTTCTGTTACTTATCAGATTGAATCGCATGTAGGTACCCGAAAACATTATCGCCTAAACCAAATATTTATCGCCCGCTCAGCCAGCCACGTAACCATAATACTTTGCACGCAGTGGGCCAATCAGTAAACGAGTTGTGTAGACAGCATGGCCACATGGTGTTTGTTTATATTTTTTAGGGGTTTTAAAATAGGGTTAGGGTTAGTGTTGTGGACCCCCCCAATATATATTTCACGGCTACGCCTCTGGCAGGAAGATACCCCTCGACTCATTCCATACACAGGATATGTAATCTCAAGTTGGCGCACGTTTTCGTTCACGAGTCTGCTTCGAAGTTAGATATTGGTTACATGCTCTAGATAACCGCACTACACTACTATTTATGCATACCCCTCCTATAGAATGATGGGCCTCCAAAAACTGAAGAGTTCTTATATCAACAACGAACTGAACATTCGTGAATTATTCAACTCACAAGAGTAGATGTAGGTCTTGAAGGGAACACACATACAATGCATTTCAGTCTGACTTGTCTGACTTTCGATGGCAATTTACAGTCAGCAGTGCCAGACCATCTTTTAGAGCAGAAATGTTTATATACGAAGTTAAGCCGCATATAAATGGGGTTTAAAGATGGACTCCCAGAAAAGTATTTATCGTGTGGTTATTTCCAATAAAAGTATGGTAATTTTGGTTTTTATGGAAAGTAGAGATATCCAATCTTACTAGAAAAATACTGGATTCCCCGAAAAACATTCATGGAGCGCATACAGTACAAAAATGTAAGGGTTCCCCTAATCAACAGCCCGACGATTAGGAATTTCTACCCGCGTGATCTCAAAGGTTACACGCGAACATTTAGCGCTTGATGTACAAGTTGATAAATTATATGAAGAGTTAGACGTGCAACACTTTCTGAGATAAAAATGACGGAAAAAGACGCGGGTAGTGGATAATCCGAGAATTTAATTAGGATTCGATATGTGTAATAAATAGTAAGCGATTAAAGACAACATCGTCTTATGTATGCAATGAATTCTCCTCTGACTTCCAAGAGAGGTAAGTCACGTGACGTAAACCTGACCTGGTTTGATCTAATTTTTATAGCAGGACCTTCCTTCGCAATTACAATGTTTGAGAAGGATTTGAAGCAAAGTTATGACAAATTAATTAGTTTGAATATTTTTTTAGTCCATACCATTAAATCACCCAGTTTTTACGCGGGAACCCATCTTTAACATTAATTTCTATTTTTCTGCACCGACTGGGCTGATGAATACGGACGTATGCCACACAGTGGGCTATGTGTGTGTGGGGGGGGGGGGGGATTTTGACCGCACAGCAGCGCCACAATCTACTCTTATTTGGAATCCACGGTGTTTCGTCCCATCCTGAACGACTAGATGTTATTACTGACCAGCTTCCTCCTGGCTTTAAGCCAGAGCCTTATTAACTGAGCACGAGTCCGAAGAACTGGTCAAAAGGATCATCAATGTCAGCCATTAAAGAAAAGCAAAACCTAGTTTTATTTGAATTCCTGATACTTTTTTATTTCATAGCTTGTGTATATAAGGTATCACATTTCTGATTGTTTTACTGATGGCTGCTATATTTTGACGGTATGGTTTACTCCAGCCTTTGTGTTCTCGAATTAAAATAGACCCATGAAGTTCCTCACAGCTACATTTAACTGTATTCGAAATAGTGCAATCTACGCGACCAATTCGGTTGCGTGCATTTTTTGGGGGATGGTGTTTTTTCTTAATTTTTAAAGTAGACTAGGTGATTTTCATTATAAAAAAAAACGCAAAAGGATTATATTTTCATGCACGTCCGATATTCGAACGTTTGCCCCCCGTTTCAAGAATAGCACTAAAAGATGGTGGAGTAGCTAATGGTGTTCAATTCAGGAATTTACAGTGAAGTATCTGAAGCTGAAAACCTATAATCTTCTGAACACTGCTTGCTTTCCACCATTCTTCAACTACAGTTTATCAGCTGACATTAATACACAACCCATTGTTTATCGCTAAATTCTAAAATCTCGAATTCATATCCACCCAAGAACGCGATGTAGGATTCATACAATATAATAGTAAATACCTGTGTCCCCTTTGTCCTCAGCTAAGCAGCTTATCGCCGATTACTTACAGGTTACATGTATTCCCAAAGTTCATTTGGCACAATTCATACATATAAAAGTTCATTTGGCACAATTCATGCATTTCTTAGTTACGTCTCTCAAGATTAACCACTGATCAACTGGTATTGAAGTGTATTATAGGGACTTGCGGGCTGTTTTCATGGTTTATCAAGTAATTAAATTTTTGGGTAAAAATAAAAATGTCGATTTAAACAAATTTGCTGTGCTGCGACTACAGATAGAACATATAATGTTAAGATAATATATGAGATTGTCCCATCTTTAAACAGAATAACAGATCAACTCCAATTCAACACGTTATCTTCATCAAACCACTGGCGAACTTTTAAGTTGATCTCAATGAGAGATAAAGAGACATGTACAATTGGTAATGACAATATATTGTCACCCACATTTGGACATGCAAAAATGTCATTGCCTACAGAACATTAAGAGCATACTGATTTGTTTTTGTTCTTTTAAATTTAACATTCTCTTTCTTGTGTTACTAAAACAATCTGGTCCTTTTATAGATTGGCCCTCATAATGTACGTTAATGCGCCAATGAACGAATGGGTGAATGAATGAATGGCTTTATTGCATCAAACATCTGGTGACGTTTACGAGACAAATTACAGGTTATCACAATAGTATATTAATACATGCATGAATTAATAGAAACAAGTATCACATTAAATAAAGTCTAAAACAAATATCACAGACACAGAAATGATTAATAAGTAAGACGGATGGGGGCACATTCAAAATATTTTGAAATCAACTTGTCATATATAGCTACTGCTATACAGTTGTTTCTAGCAGACGACACGGCTATGGATCGTGGTGAATATATATATATATATATATATCTATGTAATGTATAGCTGCTGATTATTGTCGTACTATCCCATACGATCATGTTCTACAAAACAAGTGATCCACATGTCAACACATACAGTTGTCCCTAGCAGACGACACGGCTATTGATGGTGGTGTATATAAATATAATATATATATAAGAGAGAGAGAGGGAGAGGTTTAACGTCCACTAGACACAAAATAGGTCATTTCGGGACTAAGACATGGTTCAATTTTATTTCAATAATTCACTTTCGCGTACGTAGCAGGGGTCTTTAGCAGTGGGAGGAGACCGGAGAAAACCCATAAGGTTGGACAGGCGACCCAAATCATTGTCACGAACAACCGCGGATTCGAAACCATGCCAGTTGCCTCAATGACAGACCATATGATATAGCGCGCATGCGTGATAACAATTCGGCCATCCAATCCTATATCTATATGTAATGTAGTTACATATGGTAATATATAATCTATAGTATGTAAACCCCAACTAAAGCAGGGGATAAGAGACGATACAATATCGAATAATAACACCACAACCCAGATCATTGATTAGTAAACATGACCAATTGCAATATATTGTGAAATCCGGGTCAGGTATAAAATTAGATATATTCTTGCTCTACCAGTCCCTTGGTATTAGAACATGCTAATGCAAGACTGGATCAACGAGACTAAACTAATTTCACGTGTCTTGCAATAATATTTCACCACCAATGGACATATCACATATATTTGAACGGTAGTACTTAAGGCGTGAATGAAAGGCACATTCATAACAACCGTGAAAAAAGCTATTAAGAATACCGTTGCGTTTGAAAATATATAAAATGGTGCGTAAAGTTCTTAAAGGTGGTGTTTCCACAGGAAATACTGTACGATCAAATCCATCCAGACATTATGCATCTCAATCAGGAATAACGTTTTTGACATCAGAGACCACCAGTGCTCATATAAAACAAGAGTTTGAGGAAGCAAATTTCCTGGGCTTCGATGGAATCTTCTATTCTCTAAATAAGAAAGGAAGATGGTTACTTCCAGAATTAATCAAAGAAGAAATAGAGACCAGTTTAACGAAGCTAAAGTGCAGTGTTGCCTTAATCGAATCACACAAACTTAACAAAGAAAACAATTGCCTTGGATATTATACTAATAAAGGTAGGACAAAGACAGTAATCCCAAAGAAAGGTAAATATATAAATAGACCGAACGAAAAGAAATTAAATGGTGCTCAAAATAAAACCGAGAGCAAAAAGCGCAGAAGATTAAGGGGAAATAACTCTGGCCAAGAAGAGCAGACGACAGTCGATGCAGACGTTCCTTTGCTTGTGTACGACGTTGTTTATCCATGCCCAGCACACAGTTCTATTGTCTCAAATCCAAAATTCATAAAAAACGAATCTGACCATAGTTTAATAAAACACAAAATTAAACACTGCAGAAACCAACGAAGGTTTCTGGAGGACATTACCTCAGTGGAAGATGAATTAGAGTTCATCCAGGACGTGTCTGATGCTGATGATGCAGTTTCTTATGAAGACGAAATATACATGAACACCGGAACGAGGTCCGAAATCTGTGATTTCCTTACACACTCTCTTGATCGGAACGTTAACATTGATAAATCCAAGCAACGAAAATTACGAAGTGGGCTTAAATGCCAAAAGAAAACTAATGATGAGGGACGATTGAAACATTTGAAGCGTAGGCCTATACGTGTAGAATATACCCCTAATTTATCTGTATTTGATGCCGAAAATGAATCCATAGAAATCAACATACCCAATTTACCAAGCCCAGAATATATCCCTGTCGATATCATTCTTCCGAAACATCAGGTTGAAAGCTGCTACCTCTTGGAACACTTTCCAAAAGTTGTCTTTGCGGAATGCAGTCCTAGAAAATTTATAATTGACATTACCGAAGGCATCAAAGAACAACTCAAACATACCAAACCTTTTAAAAGAACAATCTTACAAAAATTTGACTTAACGTCTTTCGTAGTTTTTGCGTTTAAGAAAATCTATGATGACCATCATGATATCTACAGCGTCCATTTGAACATCCCAACCCATACCTCAACAGTGCGCATCGAAACTTTATTCGACATGATGTTAACCGATATGGATGATGTACTGAACCGCTGTGTCCTTTATTTTGAAACCATGTCACCAGAGTCATTCCACACAAAAGACATCTTAGATTTAACCTACACCCCCCTTGTCCAATATGATATTATTCGACCTTTTGTTCAGAAGACAGTCAACTGTGTTTATCCAGAATCTATGGTTCTTACAGAAAGGTCTTACGATGTTGATGCTGTTGATTTTGAATGGATAATGATAGATGATGACCAAGAAGAACGCTGCTGTAACATATGCTTTGAAGATATATCTTCGAACTCCACACTTTCATCTACATCACTTCGCTGCTGCGGTCATTGGTTCTGCGATGGTTGTTGGAGAGAACACCTTCTTAACAATTTTAGAGCTGGCCTCCAGAAATGCTTGTGTCCCGAATATGACTGTGATAAAGAAGTGGATGATTGGACCATGGTCACCTTAGTAAATATTAGAGATATAAAACGAAGACAAACAAGAAATATCACGGTTAACTTGACTACTTCAAACTCCTCTAAGTGGTGCCCCAACAAAAGATGTGGGCGAATCATACAAAACCTTAGCTGCTCTGGTTCAACCATTCTCTGTAAATGTGGAATTGAAGTTTGTTTTAATTGCATGAGAGAAGGACATTGGCCTGCTACGTGTGAACAGTTTTCGACATATGAAAGAAAATTAAGGGCTTACAACGGCATCGACTGTACCACTATACCTGTTGTGAGGGTAAGAGGGAAACATTGTCCGCAATGCAATAATTTTATTGTGAAGAACGGTGGCTGTCCAAATATGATGTGCATCTGTGGCACATGTTTCTGTTGGTCCTGTGGTAGGAAATCTAGTGAGCATAGAATGTACTGTAAACCAAGTGGTCGAAATCTCGGCACGGTTTTGCGGGACGTGCGTCATATTGAGAGAGAGCTTGCAGGGGCTGAACCAAAGAGTAATATGTATATGATGGCTGTAAAATGTCGAATGTACAGACGCCCATCACATATAAAGGGATTTAAAAAGAAATCAGAACAGTTTAAATCACGTATAAAGAGCTGGTTAAAAAAGCAAAATAACGAAACTTTAGGCATGAATTCTATTGATGATCTGTTTACTGATATTGTAAACATTAAAACTGAACTGAATTTTGTATCAGAATTTTGCTTCGTTGCTGCAGCTTGTGAAGAGAATAAGAACATATTAAAATGCTTTCAACGCGCGGCCTCACGATTACAAACATTAGGCGATAACATAAGCGACTCTTTAGTTATTAGCATTTCCCCCGATTTTAGGAAGATGCTTTCTGAATTAATGTCCCTTAGAGACAGGTCGAGGACAGCCATCTTATCTGTGGTTACTTTAATGTCCAGAATACAGAGAAATAGCGTAAGTGCACAGCAGCACTGAATTCTACCGGTATTTAAACACTCCAAAAATTGAATTGGATACTTTTTAGCATGAGCATGATAATTATTGTTAGCCTGAATTTTGAAACAAAATGACTGTATCTTTTTTTGTGTGCTATGGCGTTGTTGACTGGAATACATCTTTTATAATCTAATGTCTAAAACAAATAACAATAATGTACATGCAGATCCACAAGGGGACTGACTGCTATGTAGATACGAATTGGATTGGATACTTTCCATGTTTGCCCATGATAATTAGTGTTAACTTAAATTTACTAAAAATTACTTCACCGTTTTGTGTGTGAATAGTTGAACTGCTTCTTATCGCATTCCAGGATGTCTCCGTAATAAAAATGGATATTATATGAAAAGTCGTTTTACGCAATATCTGCAGTTAATGTAGACGTATATTGTTGCCATCTACCCCTGTCTGTCTGTTCGTCCACGCAAGCCCGTATACTTTCTATCTTAGTTTCTGTAACTTCGTATATCCAGTCGAGCTCCATTCAGATTTAGAAGTTTATACAAAGTACAACAAATCTATGTAAAGTCTTTACATGAGAAATGATATCAGTTGCTTTAGAAGGAGAAAGCATACTCTCCCGGGTATAGCGACCAGCGAACACCACCCTCGATTAATTTATTTCTGTTTTCAAGACCAGTGTCCATGGATAATATAATATATCCAACTACATGCCCATCATTACTTTAGTAATCTCCTGAAGATCGCCCGTAATATTTAAACTCTTAGTCCACTAAACCATGAAGTATTTTAATATTTTCCTAATGTCTGCATTACAAATTTTAAGTATCTCTAGACTTAAAATTGACAAAAAGATATGGACCAACTGTGGTGTTAAAAGTACAAACGCGACCACCAGCTGATTTGCTCATGACTTAAGATCTTGTTCAAGAAAAGCCTTTACTGAAAAGCTACCACCACCTGCTCAAATTGTTTCCGCCGACCCTGTGGTTTTCTAGGGAACTTCTATTTCGTTGAAGATTAAGGTGTTCTTGGCGAGAGTCCAGCGGCGTTTATGATCAAATATCGCATTTCTAATTGCTTGAAAAAGACACGACGAATTCCTTCATACATATGAATCAAAAACGGCTGTTAAATTTCAACGGTACACTGTAAATAATATTAAAATTTGTGTATTTTTACCGTAAATTGACTGGCAGAAAATTGCCAGTAAAATGACTGTATTTTAACACTGACTTGTAAATTTACACCTAAGTGGTAGACTTACGTTTACAAACAGCATGTAAATTTACAGTGAGTGTAAAATAATTTCGGTGTAAATTTGCATTGTTCTTGTAAATAGAAAATGGGATAAATTTACATTCAAATTTTTAAAGGGAATGTGTTTGTTCCCACTCGGCTGAGGGGTCCAAGGTTCGATCCTGGTGAACACATACAGTTTTGCGGACCTTTCAGCCGAACATGCAAAACATCATTCGATAATGGAAAGAAATTAAATAAAATGGGGTTTAACGTTCTACTGTTCTGCTTCTTACAATGGAGAGAGTAGGAGGCATGACACGAAGCAAAATGTCTCACACAACCCTATGTATGACATATCACTGTCTCCATACGACAGTTAGGTGCATTCAGGTTTTGAATGACCTATTTCTCTAGGTTGAAATCGACTAATCAGACTGACATAACAGTAAATATTTTGCACGAATTTCGGTATGTGGTCGAAGGGGAATAACCGATTTGAACACTACTTGACAGTAAATTTAAAATTTGTTGTAAAAATACTATTTCAAATGGCATTTCTGTTAATATACAGCTCAAATAATGTAAACTGACATATGGTTGGATTTCTACATTACGTTTGGTGTAATCTTATATGTCGCCAAAGAGGGAATAGCCGATGTAGCCACTGTTTGACACTTAAAGTTCTAAAGAGATGTAGACTTACACGTTTACTGCAAATTGTACACAAATCCCGTATTTAAACAAACACAATGTATAACAAAAAAAAGTTCAGACAATCCTATCAACTGTTTCGAATGTACATGTATATGTAATTCGAACAATACGGGAAAAATATAGATTGTAATTTGGAATTGGGTGGGGGTGGGCAAGGAATTTATCCCTACCTTGAACTTTAAAGTTGTCTCCCAATGGTCGATGTTTTATTTTTCTTTAACTTACATGAACATTCTCTTTCTTGTGTTACTAAAAACAACCTGGTCCTTTTCTAGATGGACCCTCAAAATGTAGAAATGGAATTTTTGGCACGTCAGCTCCAACCGGACTTGCGCCAAACTTGGCGACGTCTACCCCATTTCATTTCATTTTGTCACGTATAGCTACTGATTATTGTAGTAGTAGGCCTTCCAGTGATTCATATGTCAACACCCTCTGAATATCAGAGACACGCTATAGCTGCGGAGACGTACGTTGTCAACACATACTGAGTTGTCTCTAGCAGACGACACGGTTATTGATCGTGGTGAATACACCTAACTATCTATGTTATGACTATGTTATATACATGTAGTATGTAAACCTCAGCCTATATATTATAAAAAGACATAAGAGACGTTACAATATCATTGATTAGTATTTTCCGGCGTGGTTTCCACTTGTCAGTGGTGCAGGACGGAGAGCCTGACAAGGAGAGTTGTCTACTCGTTCCGATGGGACGAAAAGCCGAGGTCCTATGTACACATTGGCGTGCACGTAAAAGATCCCTTGGCAGTTGGAATTCGATATAAAAGTAGGCCACAGCGAAATTTCCCTCATAGTCCACTGTATGGCGTACGTCCGTCTTCATTAACCCAATCGGAGTAGAACAGTAGGACATTAAACCCCATTTCATTTAATGACAAGTAAACGAAAACAATACATGGAGAAATCCGGATCAGGCGTAAATATATATTTATTCTTGCTCTACCAGTCCCTTGATATTAGAACATGTTAATGCAAGACTGGATCAACGAGACTAAACTAAATTCACGTATCTTGCAATAATATTTCACCACCAATGGACATATCACATATATTTGAACGGTAGTAGGCCTACTTAAGGCGTGAATGAAAGGCACATCCATAACAACCGAAAAAAAGCTATTAAGAATACCGTTGCGTTTGAAAATATATAAAATGGTGCGTAAAGTTCTTAAAGGTGGTGTTTCCACAGGAAATACTCTACGATCAAATCCATCCAGACATTATGCATCTCAATCAGGAATAACGTTTTCGACATCAGGGACCACCAGTGCTCATAAAAAACAAGAGTTTGAAGAAGCAAATTTCCTGGGCTTCGATGGAATCTTCTATTCTCTAAATAAGAAAGGAAGGTGGTTACTTCCAGAATTAATCAAAGAAGAAATAGAGACCAGTTTAACGAAGCTAAAGTACAGTGTTGCCTTAATCGAATCACATAAACTTAACAAAGAAAACAATTGCCTTGGATATTATACTAATAAAGGTAGGACAAAGAAAGTAATCCCAAAGAAAGGTAAATATATAAATAGACCGAACGAAAAGAACTTAAATGGTGCTCAAAATAAAACCGAGAGCAGAGAGCGCAGAAGATTAAGGGGAAATAACTCTGACCAAGAAAAGCAGACGACAGTGGGTGCAGATGTTCCTTTGCTTGTGTACGACGTTGTTTATCCATGCCCAGCACAAAGTTCTATTGTCTCAAATCCAAAATTCATAAAAAACGAATCTGACCATAGTTTAATAAAACACAAAATTAAACACAGAAGAAACCAACGAAGGTTTCTGGAGGACATTACCTCAGTGGAAGATGAATTAGAGTTCATCCAGGACGTGTCTGATGCTGATGATGCAGTTTCTTATGAAGACGAAATATACATGAACACCGGAACGAGGTCCGAAATCTGTGATTTCCTTACACACTCTCTTATCGAAACGTTAACATTGATAAATCCAAGCAACGAAAATTACGAAGTGGGCTTAAATGCCAAAAGAAAACTAATGATGAGGGACGATTAAAACATTTGAAGCGTAGGCCTATACGTGTAGACTATTCGTCTAATTTATTTGTTTTTGATGCTGAAAATGAATCAGTGCCCATTGAGATGAGCATCCCCAATACTGACAGCCCAGATTATATTCCTGTAGATATCATTCTTCCTAAATACCAGGTTGAAAGATTCCATCTCTTGAAACACTTTCCAAAAGTTGTATTCACGGAATGCAATCCTAGAAAATTTATAATTGACATTACTGAAGATATCAAAGAACGACTAAAACATGCTAAACCTTTTAAAACAACAATCTTACAGAAATTAGACTTAACATCTTTCATAGTTTTTTCGTTTAAGAAGTCTTATGATGACCATCATGATATCTACAGAGTTCATTTGAATATGGCTTCCCATATATCAAAAGTACGCATCGAAACTTTATTCGACATGATGTTAACCGATATGGATGATGTACTGAACCGCTGTGTTCTTTATTTTAAAACCATACCACCAGTGTCATTTAACCTGCAATCCAGTTGTCCAATATGATATTATTCGACCTTTTGTTCAGAAGACAGCCAACTATGTTTATCCAGAATCTATGGTTCTTACAGGACAGTCTTACGATGTTGATGCTGTTGATTTTGAATGGATAATGATAGATGATGACCAAGAAGAACGCTGTTGTAACATATGCTTTGAAAATATATGTTCGAAGTCCACACGTCCTTTCACGTCTCTTCGCTCCTGTGGTCATTGGTTCTGCGATGGTTGTTGGAGAGAACACCTTCTTAACAATTTTAGAGCTGGCCTCCAGAAATGCTTGTGTCCCGAATATGACTGTGATAAAGAAGTGGATGATTGGACCATGGTCACCTTAGTAAATATTAGAGATATAAAACGAAGGCAAACAAGAAATATCACGGTTAACATGACTACTTCAAGCTCCTCTAAGTGGTGTCCCAACAAAATGTGTGGACGAATCATACAAAATCCTAGTCGCTCTGGTTCGACCATTTTCTGTAAATGTGGAACAAAAGTTTGTTTTAGTTGTATGAGAGAAGGGCACTGGCCATCAACGTGTGAACAGTTTTTGACATATGAAAGAAAGTTAAGGGCTTACAACGAAATACTTGGCTTTGACTGTACCAGCATACCTGTTGTGAGGGTAAGGGGAAAACACTGCCCAGACTGCAATGCTTTTATTGTAAAGAACGGTGGATGTCCACAAATGATGTGTAGCATCTGTGGTACATATTTCTGTTGGTCCTGTTGTAAAAAAAACGAAGGAGCACAGTCTTACGAATTGTTATTCAATTAGTCAAAATCACGGCACGGTTTTGCGGGACGTGCGTCATATTGAGAGAGAGCTTGCAGGGGCTGAACCAAAGAGTAATATGTATATGATGGCTGTAAAATGTCGAATGGACAGACGCCCATCACATATAAGGGAATTTAAAAAGAAATCAGAACAGTTTAAATCACGTATAAAGAGCTGGTTAAAAAAGCAAAATAACGAAACTTTAGGCATGAATTCTATTGATGATCTGTTTACTGATATTGTAAACATTAAAACTAAACTTAATTTTGTATCAGAATTTTGCTTCGTTGTTGCAGATTGTGAAGAGAATAAGAACATATTAAAATGCTTTCAACGCGCGGCCTCACGATTACAAACATTAGGCGATAACATAAGCGACTCTTTAGTTATTAGCATTTCCCCCGATTTTAGGAAGATGCTTTCTGAATTAATGTCCCTTAGAGACAGGTCGAGGACAGCCATCTTATCTGTGGTTACTTTAATGTCCAGAATACAGAGAAATAATGTAAGTGCACATCAGCACTGAATTTTACCGCTATTTAAATACTTGTAATGTATTATTGGTTTTGGTACTTTGTAAGCATGACCATGATAATTATTGTTAACCTGAATTTATTATAAATATTTTGGAGAAAAATTACTGTATCTGTTTTTTGTTTGAATAATGGAAATGTTTGTTATTGCGTTTCTGGCTGGAATATATCTTTTATTCCCAAATTTTTCAATATAATTATCCCTACTCCTTTTCTGGTCTTTATTTTTCATAATAGTATAATGTTTAATGTGGATGCTTTTTATGTATTATGGTAATCATGGTTTTTGCCGTGTGCATTATCATGTATATTTTGCCTTTAATTTAAGTTCGAGTTGTTTCATATGGTACATCTTAGCCAAAGTTTGGCTTAAAGGATGGGGGGGGGGGGGGTGATGGGGGGGGGGTATAATGGAACAGATTATAAACTGTCGTTGAGCTTTAGGCCAATGATTTGATTTTATCCGTTCATTAGTCTTTGAGGTTCATAAAATATTAATAATGTTAAATAATAAAACAATGACTGGTGATAATCGATTAGTTCTTATTGTTAAATATTATATAGCTTAAAGAGTATTTCTATACAGCTGGCGTGGCTAACTCTTTTCCCAGGCTTTTTTTCCATCTCCTATTGCATTTCGTGATCAGAATGTATTGTGCACATAAATAAATAGATCGTATATCTATATAAGTATTATCGAGTATCGATATTTCAAGATTTTGATTTGCAAATATTTGTTTTATATATACGTCATTCGCAGATTGGTCTAGAAGCTAAATTAATTACAATTGTTTCCACAGTAATCTATATATAGACAATCTATAGTACCTTGCTCATTGCTGTGGATTTATCTTCCTGCTATAGACCACGTCGATATAAAAGTAGTACATATCTTGAATTATGAATTTATTCAAGATATATGTAATACTATAGGTGTTATTTTAGTTCCAGGAAAGGTGCTCTGTTTAATATATCGAAGTGGTTAAACAAATGGGTGACAACGAGAAATAGGCCAAGTAGGTATTTTGCAATTTTGCAAGATTCAAGTTTGTTAGACTAATTCACAGATATTTCCTGTCACCACCAATTGCTGAAAGTAGGGTACTAGTCATCTCGTACACAGATTATTCCAATTAAATAGAATAATGTTCACGTAAAACGGTGCCCATACGAAACATTTACCCAGAAATGGCAACTGTCCCGCCCTAATAGCAGACGCATATATGCTCTCTATATAAGAAGGGGCGGGTTTAAATTTCCCTTCTTACATCATCCGGCGTTCCTAGCCGTAAGACTAACCGCCTTGGCTTACAGGCCAGGATACCGACAGCATGCGGGGTTTTCAGAACGTACTCTCAGCCTCTGGTTCGAGGCTGGGATAGAGACAATGTAGTGTCTCAACCGTTATGTCTGAGTTCTGGGCATGTTAAACCCAGATTGTAGATATTATAATAAATCCTAATGTACTATCATAGATGTTGTAGTTTTCCTTATTTGATCTATAAACATAGTTATAAAAGCACAGTGTTTCAGAGTCAACTGACCTTTGGAGTTTTATATATAGCGTGAAAGTCCTGACTAGATAAGTGTCACCCCCAGTGTCACGGGCCGTTTTCTGGAAGTTCCTGATTAAAGTCACATCGGTCCCCGTAATGCCACAAATGCCCGAAGTATTTCAAAGAGATATTTCATAGATATGCACATTTTACATATTCTACACACCATATCCAACATTTAAACGATTTAATAAAACAAACTGACAAAATTATTCGTAATTACAGTTTGGACAAAACGGTCTTTGCAATCTCCGACAAGAGCGTTTTCTTTGTCAGTATCGCCCAAAGTATTTCAAAAAGTGACCTACAAGGAAGATTTGTTGTAAATATGCTCTACACATAATATCCAGCATTTTAATGATTTCATAAAAACGGTTTGGACAAAACGGTTTTACTTAGCGCCGACAAGAAACGGCTAGAGCGATGTGTATATCGACAACATGTCTTTCCTTGTGGGTCACTTATTGCCATACTTTGAGCGGTATTGACAAAATACGGTATTAGTAGACCCTCGAATCCATAGCTCGAAGTCTGTCATTTCTTGTTCCACGGCCTAGTATGCAGGCAATGGGTAACAGGACGGACTTTCTACACAACCCGGATGGGCCGAAACTTTCGGGTGTATTCTGGCACAGATGTCGGAGAGTTACTGTCAGAAAAACAAACATTCATTTTATGGAGACTTTCCGTCAGCTAAAAGAACGAGAGCTGTTCATGGGAAATGATCCTCAGTCGGTTAAAGATATCGAATGTGACGGTATCCGTTTGCTATTGTAATCAAAAACATATCTCAAAGCTGGCGTAATCTCCGGCAGTGTCTTTCAATCTGAATTAACTCGATGGTAACAATAACTTTTATTTGCATTAATCGCAGATATACATTAACAAAACATATTACATGTAATATATAATAATGATAACACTAATTATATAAATTAAGAAATAAATAAATAAGAAATAAATATTGCACAATTGACATTAAATCTACAATAAAGATTTAAAAATTTGCTTTGTGATTTTCCCTACACAATATCAATTAGATTTATTGTAATACGGCGCCATTTTTATTATATTTTCTACTAATATTGACGAAAGTAATCCTTCTTCTCTGAAAAACTTATCAATGTGGCGTGTCCACCCCTACTCCCATATGCGCTTCAAGTGACAGGGCATGCTGTGTTTCCACATGACGTCGTAAATCAACTTTGCGCTGAAAAGCTCGTCCACATCTATCACAAGCAAAAGGTTTGTATCCCGTGTGCTTTCGACTATGGGTAATTAGATTTGAAGATTGGCTGAAGGCCTTTCCACACTGCATACACTTGTGTGGCTTCTCACCTGTCAAAAAAAATATATATACAATATTGATTTCATATGGATTAACATATAGGCTAATATGAAGTAAGAAGAAAAAAATACTTATCAAGACTTTTCCAAGAATTGAGCGATATTCAAAGAACAAAACAAAATCATAAAATGTGCCGGAACAACCGAAAGGGTTAATAGGATGTAACATTATCATTATGATATGCACAATTTTTATTTCCAGGATATTAATTATTTTACACGGAAACAATAGCTATTTCTGGATTCTATTTTATCGTCAAACTCGCTGTGATGTAAATAAGGGTAGGACACGCGATTGTTGCCGAGATTGTAGGTTAGGGTGTATTAGGGCTCGGTCCAGGGTTAGGGTTAGGGTGTATTAGGGCTCGGTCCAGGGTTAGGGTTAGGGTTGGGATTAGCGCTAGTCCTGTTTACATCTCCTGACCTTTGACCAAACTTGAAGTTGGCCCTATGAAATAGATCTAAAACTGTCGACAGCGCAATTTAATTGACCAAACCCGAATCCGCACCCGTACTTATGAAATCAAACCAAGTATTTTAGACGTGATTCAACAATATGCAAATAATGTCTCGAGAGAAATAAATGTATTAGCTCAACAATTAGTAAAAATTTTGTTTCGCTTATGTTGACCTTTAGAAATCAATCAGAATATTACAGAAAATACAAAACAGCGAGTCTCACTGACGGACTCGACAGTATGAAATCACGTGATTAAAATGTCACCGAGGTCCCCTGTGACGTGTTGGGGAGAAATCGTTGTAACATTTATACGATATTTGATCTCTTCGAAAATTATCGTACCAAGGGGACATACTCACTAATCACGAAGTTATGACAATAACATCAATTAGTAAATCCTCTTTTGATTGTTTTTCTATAACTGATTCTGCATCAATAACTACATTAAAGTTCGACGCAAAATGATTTCTAATTGAAATGTCATCAGAATGAATGAAAAACAGCAATCTGTTTCATAACGGTAATGCTACAGCCTTCTTTTAACTCTCTACGTAATGACTGACCCTAAGGTCCCGTTCACTTTACGCGTGACATCACATCATACGGTACACCATTGCGTATACTATTTATTTTATGTATCCATTTACACTAAATAGGAATATCTTTTATCCAGATATACGTCTTTATAATTAAAACAATTCTTTTAGAATTTAATTTGAAGAAAAAAAGAGTTAATATTGAGAGCAAAGTAACCCATCCCGACGTCATCCCTATGAAAGTAGCGGCCTTGCGAATATTTTAAATCAAATCGGCTTATTATTTTTTTATCACTCTTATTAAATGTATTTATAAGAAACGACCAGCATTAATAAAACATTTTCCACCCCAGCAACCCACAAGTCAACTGGTATTTCGTCGTTCTCTTTCATATTATGAGTTCCATGCTGTAGCCTAAACGAACAGATCACTGCAAAAACTGGTCAATATAAATAAATTGTTAATAATGACATCGTCATTTATTTTGATATGCTTTCATTGTCTGTCAGTCTATTATTTCGACAATTATTGTTTATATAAGTTCTGTCGATAACAAGTCGAGATTTCCGCATTCGTTTCCAGACAATTTGCAATAAATTAACTAATATCCGAACAATTATTATCACGCCACTTAACAATTTTGAACAAGTGTGTTCGGCTCTATTAAAGGTCATTATTTTAAGACCAGTAGCAGGAGGTGTAATGAAGGGCGAGTTTGAGTCATTTAGTGACCTTTCATTGGTTAAATATTACGTCATTTATTCTAATTACGTGATATATTTGAAAGTGATTTATGTGGTTGTTTAGTCATTCAATCAATTCCTGTAGTACAAATTGACATTTTATTTAGTGGAAGTAATTATGACAATGATATCATTACTTAACTATCGTAACACATCTGGCAGGTTCGCGAACAGTTTTTCTTCTATAAACAAAAATTTTAAAAATAGTTTGTCATATTTTATGAAATGAAAGATTTGCACAAAGAGCAGCACAAATTATGTGAGCTAAATGAACTGAAATAAGGATAGTACAAAATTGTTTCTTTGTTGTTTTTTTTTTAAATTCAGAGTTATTTTGCATATGAGATAAATTTAATAACGGAGATATACATTTAATAAAGAATTTTATTAGAAAAGTGCTTGTCACAATGGACGGTACAGATGTGCGCCCTTTAAAATATATGTGCGTTATATTTATTTTTGGGAAAATATCAAACTTCCCACGGCTTAATCCATCTAAACGAACAGCGTCTACGCGTTGGCGTTCGCCTATTATTGAAGCTTCGATGAAGAGTAGGCCCACATCATGGTGTGTACCCTGGTTGTTGTAAATACACCAGAAAATATATTGCTTTTTCTAATTTATGCATAATCTTTGATTTAGTTTAGTATTAAATAAACCGTTTCTAGCGTAGCCTATGTGAAACATTTTTATTTATTTTATTTTATTTTTTTTTGAAAAAATAATTTACTATTGTTTAACGAATTATACGTAGAAATACCAACAAAGAAATTTAATAAGTCTTCGATTTCAATTTAATCTTTTGATTTCATTAATTAGACATTTTATGTTTTTTTACATGCAAAATAGAAATCAGACAATTGAAAAAAATGAGGATACATAAAAAAAAACCTCATTATATTCTCCTAATTTCAAAAGTGCCCAATTAATCTCTTTAATTTAAATCAGTGGGTTTTATATATACGATACTGAATCAAACAATAATGATTGACATGAAAAGATTGTATTATTTCATAATTAATAACCAGAAGATTTCTAATTTACAATATCAATATCGTTTGTTGTCCTTCCTCAGAGAATGTAAAATAAGAATTAATTGAATGTAATAGTTTTTGTCAGTGATATTGTCTGGCATTGTGTGTAACAGATCAATACTTTTTATCTATATATCGCAAATTTATTGCCTATAAATATATATAATTGGACTAATGAAATAAATATGATGAGCACGTACGTGAATAAGGTGAATCAGAACGTGGACAGAGGATTATCTTTAAAACTTTTTTTCAAAAGGCTAACGTAGTTGTTGTTGTTTTTCTTTATTTTCTTTTTTTGGCTATATGAAGTGGATCAAGTCCGTAAAATTATCACGCTCATTGTCAATATCAATCTAAATATAAATTCAAGAAAAATATGGTCTGTAGCCTATTTTTTAGGATCCTACAAATAAGTTCCCCAGGGGAACCATTTGATTGATTTGACGTGTTCATGGTTGGTGCTTGAAACCATAGACCTTTCCATGGTACATGTATGTCGGTAAACTCAAAATAATGTAAGATCGTACTCACCGTATTTGGAATTAACGGAAACTATGAGTATGAACAGTTAGCAAAGACTCACCCGTATGTATGTAAGTGTGTTTCTTCATATCTGATTTTTGATGAAATCTCTTTCCACAATAAGGACATGGATACGGTCTGGTATCACTGTGAATCAGTAGGTGGGTGGACAAAGTCGACGATCTCTTGAACGTTTTTCCGCACTGTGAACAAGAAAAGTTCCTTTCTTGAGTATGAACTACTCGGTGTTGGTCCAGGCTTACGGCGTGACCAAACGTCTTGTTGCAAACATCACAGGCAAACGGACGCATGCCATTGTGGGAACGTCTTACGTGAACTTCAAGTCCGTGTGGGGTACTAAATAGTTTGTCACATTGGGCACATTCGTAAGTAGAAGTGATTTCTGACAAATCTTTTCGTTCATCAAACATTAGTTCTGTGTCAAGTTCGTGGTTAACGCTCCTAAAAAGCCCCGCCGTATCAAAATTGCGCGGATATTTCCAAAATGGCGACGGTAAAAAGATACTCGATGGGAAAAAATAGAAACTGTCAAATGGAAATCTTTGCTGTGCTTTGGTAAAATTGCGTAACATGTGATCTGTAGATAACTGGCTTCTTTTCAAGTCGAAGAATTTTTCTACTGCTTTTTCTGAAATAACAATAATATGGAATACACTTTTCCAAATAAAGAAAACATTTTCATGTGAGCATACAATGTAGGGCATATTGAAATTGGTTTGAAGGTTACTTAATAGTTATTTAATGTTCACTTACGTTTTGACTGGTGATTATTTTCCTCGCAACTGCTATGTGAGGAGGTGTCGTGGGGTGACAGTGGCATGTCATCATGTTGTGCTTCGTGTGGCGTATCATCCATAGATGGAACCGTCTCTGCCACCCATGGCCTATAGGCTGTAAAGTTACCATCTACCGTTGAAAACTTGCTGCCTTTATTTTTAGAATCGTCGTCAACTGTAACACCAAATTTAAGCTAAAACTATCTTATAAAAATAGTTGGGATCGTTATAGTATGGACCCGCCAAACAAAACCAATTCACATTGACGATAAGCTCTGTAGCGCCAAAAATAATCTAGATTTAGATTTTACAAAACGAAGAAAATTTTATTGATAAGATTAAAGGGGGGATCTAACTTTGCAGATCGTCTCCAATTGATAAAATATATTTGGAAATTTCACAAAAAGGATTGTGAAAACATTGAGACAACCATTTTAAAATTTAGTTTGTAGCATACTCTTCGCGATGTTTCTTTTTGGTCAGATCTGATCCTTTAGTGCTATACTGAAATCCGCGGGCACTGGTTCAAAGTGATATGATCTAAATAGATCAAGTACTTTAATTAAATGAATATGTCCAGAGTTACTTTGAATATCATATTATATAAAAATCATTTTCTTAGTGGAAATGGTGGAACTTATATTTTTGACCTATAACCTTTTTTGTTGAACATTCTGTGAAAATGGCCGCCTAGATATTTTTTTATATTTTCTTTAAAATTACGCCAGTTTTAAAGCAGTGTTTTCCAATAGCATGCCTGATTACATTTATCATTTTCCACATTAAAATCATAATCAACCGAAAAAAGAGACTCGATGGGACGAAGGAAAAGTACTTATGAGCCTACCCACTACATTAGAGGGTAATCAATTAAGGAACTGTGGCCCTGTTTATATGGGTTTTTAAAATATTAAGATGTTGCATCTACTTAAAATAATCAGGATTTCCCTAGAAACTTGGTTATGGTGCAGCATATACCATGAAAGAATTGTTCGTGTCTTTAATGGGTAGAAGCAAAATTTAGATAATGTATAAAATAAGTTTAATAAAAGATAAAAAGCTATTATTATGGGGGCAAAACGTACATGTAGTTACATCACATCTGTCCATCACATATTTTAGAAGTACATTCTATATTTATTTATTTTTTTCGATAATAATGCACCAGGTATAATCTATAATCCCTGAGTGGCATTTAGTGATTGAGCACATTAAAACACACAGCACAATTTATAAGGAAAACAATCACTGGTTTATACACATGTAGCACGACGTTTCCACAAGTGTTCTCTTATCGTTTTCAAACACAAACAAAGGAATACTTGTCGAAACGTCGTGCTATATGTGTATAAACCAGTGATTGTTTTCCATATAAATTGTGTTGTGTTTTTTTACAGTATCGCCTAGGTTTTGAAAAGATTAAAACGTCCTATCGATGTGTTTTCTAAAATGATACAAATTTTCTAAAATCAATTTCCGATCTTTTTCTGAAATTGGAAAAGAGTGACGCTAACACTGATAAATTATGATATGCCCGAAGATGATAACGGAATCATATTTAAAGTTTTAAAAGGGAAACATTATTACAAAAATAATTGTTGATAATATTAGAAAATAAAATAAATCAATAATAATGATACAAAAAGAAAACAAAGGGGTTTATGAGGTAGAATAAAAATGAAATAATAATAATATATACAACTTAAATGATTTTCTTTTTTTTTTTATTATTTTATTGACCTTTTTTTTTCAGTGAAATGTTACAAATCTATGAATTGTTAAAATTCACTTTTGACTTGACATGTCACGATAACTGAAAAACATCCAGTAAATTGATCGTATATATAATATGAAAACTATTGTAAAATATAACAATAAATCTAAATTTGAGAAATTATTTTAGTAAATAAGTTTTCTCACCATTTCGTCGAGGAATAACAATCTGGAAAGCACTCATTTCGCTGTCGCTTAATTCTGTGTGTTTTTGACTCCGGACGAGAAACGATCTCGGCATTCTGTTGCAATTTACACAAATTGAATAGAAAATTAACACAAACTCTCGACTTTTACTCTGTTCATTTAGAGACTCGTGTGTCCCCTTGATATATTAATTAGGCTCCGCCCATATTCAATTGAACGATTCTTCGGTCGCGTGCCGAACACACGCCAATAACGGTATATTTAGCCAATCACGATAAATTAAATATTATCTTCGCTCTTCTCTATATCACACGCTATTATTATGAATAAGTGACGATTGGGGGAAACTTCGTCCATATTGTACAAAATTAGGGTAAAATACGAGAGTCAGTAAGAATTATCTACAATATTAAAAACAAAAGAGAAACAAGTATCATAGCTGGTATGACACTTAATTCAAAAAAATGAATAAGAGCATTCACTCCTCTATGTGTACATGCACAATTAATAATGTGCTATTAATAGGAATAAGTGACATTTGAGAGAAACTTCGTTTAAATTGCACAGAGTTAGGGTAAAATACAAGTCTATAGAATCATCAATGAAATTAGAAAGGAAATAGAAATAGGAACAAGTATCTTACTATAAAATAAATGTTATGTGAAAATATTATTTTATACCTTATTATTAATTGTCTTTCACCCAACCAAACTTTTTGGACCAGGAACTGGTCGCTAACCGCTACTTATAATGTTCTTGTTCTTCTTGGAGTGACGCTCTTCAAAAAAGCCTAAAGTTAATTCAAGTCCGATCGACATAATGCTTTTTCTTTGAACAATTCTGCATTGATTTAGTGAATTAGATGTTTTGGACCAGGAACTGGTCGCTAACCGCTACTCATAATGTTCTTGTTCTTCTTGGAGTCACGCTCTTCAAAAAAGCCTAAAGTTAATTCAAGTCCGATCGACATAATGGTGGTAATACAGATACGTGCATGTAATTTAAAAAGAGGGTTCACATCAAAATATTACAAAAATGCTTTTAACAAAAAATGAACATTCTCCCTTGTTGTATTGATATCCTCTAATCGATGGTTACTAAATAATGAACTCGGGTGGCAAATGGTTTTATCTTAAGGTTTAAATAGTTCAATGAATAACTTCAAGCTGAGCAAAGCAACCAATTAAAAATCATGAAGACAAAACACAAAAGCAAAAAGACTACGAAAATAAATAAATACGGACAGTGTAAATCTTTACTCCAATCAAGAGTATAACCGACTAAACGCGACAGTGTACATGCATTATGTACATTTAAATAAATAAAAGTTGTCAGTTATTGCTATAATAGTTCAAAAATAGATAATGAAAAATGAATATATTTTTAAAAATTCAATCAAATTACTTTATCTTGGCGAAGTTATTGCTGTTTGAAGATGTCGCGTACATCGTTTATTTTCGTAGAAACGGTACTTGACATTTGAGACTAAGTCTTGATTATCCGTTTTATCGTTAAATTTTTAAACATGGTTCATTTCTGTTCAGTATGTAACAAAGATATGGTTAATTGGAAATGCCCACCCAATAGGATGTGGTCAAACGCCATCGTCACCTACATGTATAATCTTCGGTAAAACCTTTTGATGAACCTTTGTTTAATTATTTTGAATCTGAGCCAGGAGATTTTATGCCGATTATATTTTGATTTTGTTTATTAAATAGCGAATAAAAATTTCCTTAAAAAATGCAAATGATGCCAAGCTGATTTAATACAGCACTATTCAATGATACAGTACGATTTACCATGAGAGAGCCACAGTGGCTAAGTGGCTAAGACGCTGGCTAGCTAGCCTGAAGGTCGCGGGTTCGCTCCCAGTGTTGACCGAGAAAGTTCATCGGGATTTTCCGACATGGTTTCCCCTTGTCAGTGGTGCAGGACAGTTGTCTAGTCGTTCGGATGGTACGAAAAACAGATGGCCCGTGTACGCATTGGCGTGTGCGTATAAGATCCCTTGGCAGTTGGATTTTGATATAAGAGTAGGCAAAGGCAAAATTTCCCTCATAGCACACTGTTTGGCGTATGCACGTCTTCATTCGCCCAGTCGGAGCAGAACAGTAGAACGTTAAACCCCATTTTTTCATTTTATTTGACTGCATGAAAATGGGCCTTTTTTCCAAATTTAATTTAAAACTAGTTATTATTTTCAATATATCAGGAGTCAACAGAACCGGATATGAAATTGGTGACCTAAATTTCAGCTCTCCGAAAATGGTTTTGGGTCGTTCCGATCGATTGGAATCGTCTACTGTGTATACTGATAGGCAAGAGACGGGGAAACTTTCCTTTTCACATGTAAACAATTCTGTTATGGATTAATTAATATCCAAGAGTTAGGATTTCAACATTCGCATTATACTGTGATTTCAAAACTACTACGTTAGCATTTCAGTAGTTTTATGTTAGGATTGAAACAGTTCTGACACTGGCTTTCAATTTTTCCCGCCTAAATAGATCATAAAGTTTATGATTATTACAAATTGTTTACATATTTTGTCCGCCAACAGGAATAATTCATCTGTTAAAAATATATGATAAAAAAAGATATAACAATTTTATTTCTCGAGTATTATAAAACAATTATATAGAACTTAGAACAAAATCCTTCATTGCTTTGAAGACCTGTTCTGTGTCAGGATCAAAACAGTTATATACTAGGATTTAAACAGTTATGTGTTAGCATTTAAACAGTCGTGTGTTAATATTTAAACATTTATGTGTTAGTATTTAAATAGTTATGTGTTAGTATTTAATCATTAAACTAGTTTAGGGTTAAACAGTTATGTGTTAGTATTTAAACAGTTATGTGTTAGGATTAAACTAGTTTAGAGTTAAACAGTTATTTGTTAGTATTTAAACAGTTATGTGTTAGTATTTAAACAGTTATGTGTTAGTATTTAAACAGTTATGTGTTAGGATGAAACTAATTTAGAGTTAAACAGTTATTTATTAGTATTTAAACAGTTATGTGTTACGATTAAACGAATTTATGGTTAAACGGTTATGTGTTAGTATTTAAACAGTTATGTGTTTGGATTAAACGAGTTTAGGGTTAAACAGTTATGTGTTAGTATTTAAACAGTTATGTGTTAGGATTAAACTAGTTTGGGGTTAAACAGTTATGTGTTAGTATTTAAACAGTTATGTGTTAGGATTAAACTAGTTTCGGGTTAAACAGTTATGTGTTAGTATTTAAACAGTTATGTGTTAGTATTTAAACAGTTATGTGTTAGGATTAAACTAGTTTGGGGTTAAACAGTTATGTGTTAGTATTTAAACAGTTATGTGTTAGGATTAAACTAGTTTCGGGTTAAACAGTTATGTGTTAGTATTTAAACAGTTATGTGTTAGTATTTAAACAGTTATGTGTTAGGATTAAACTAGTTTAGGGTTAAACAGTTCTGTTTTAGGATTAAAACAGTTTTGTATTAGGATTTAAACAGTTTTGTGTTAGTATTTAATCAGTTCTATGCTACGATCAAAACAGCTGTGTGTTAGGGTGAGGATTTATGTTAAAGATACATTATGGGAGATTAGATAAAGAGCTAGATAATGTAAAGGCAATTTGCTGAAAATTTCAGTCAAATTGATCCACTCTGAACCGAGAATTAAGCGAATGAAATTTCGGCCTAGCCTCCATCATCATTACTAAAGTTGGTACGATAAAAACATATTCTCGATTATCCATTTCATGATTAAATCATGAAAGAAAGTCGAGCAGCATATCAGATCTTAATCCAATAAATATCGCAGGCTAGCGTTGACATCGAGAGTTGATTATGGTCTAGCTAAGTTAATTAATGTCTAATTAATAATTTAGATAACATTTCAAGCCTAAAGATTTAGCTCTTGCATAATGTATGTTTAAGGTTTAAAGTGTCCTATGTAGATTTTCTAGTTAAACCAATTAAAGTCGCGGTTAATGCTAAGTCTTTTATTATGTTTACAAAATATCGCGATAATTAAGGTCCGACAGAGTTTTAGTAATCATGACAATCTTAACTCGGTGCGAAATCAAAGGCAAACAATGTTACCAAATTTTACAAATATATGATTCGTTTATTGCAAACGCCTTTGATCAAGTAGAGTGGTAAGAAAACTTTAAACACAGTTCCAGATCTGTTGCTGGAAATAGGCCTCAGGTAAAATCATATTTCGACCTTCATTTCCAGTGTATTTGAGTAGTTAAATAGAACTTCGATTTTATTTCTGCCTTTTTTAAAGCTCAACGAAACAATATACTGAAGTAAATGGATCTAGTAGTAACCCGCATCCTAAATCAATTAGCAGTCTATTGATTTGTTATTTAAGATAAAATCTTTGTGAAATCTCGCTCTTCATACCACCTGTACGCATACTACCTGCTGATCTTAGGGCGGAAAGATGAATTAATTGATATAATAGAGTGAACATATTTTTATTTTATTTTAAGACCGCGCCCTTTTGTATCAAATGACTGCTGTGTCAAACATTTTCTCCATGATCTTTCGGTTTTGGCGGTAAAGGAAGCTAATTGCCTGTATCAAATATCCTAAACTCTGTAGGTCTGTAACTATTAGTGTGTGTTTAGGGGACTACCTTTAAGTCAGAATTTTAGAATATATATATATATAGACTGAATACTCTGGTCCAAAACTTATTCAATGAATTCCAACGTCAGTACACGTCAATCATCTCAAACTGAAGGTCTTTCTTTTACTCAGATGTTCTTAAAAGCCGTTTTTATATTACAATAGTTCCTTTAAACTCGTCGAAAAGAATGTATGAAACGTGAATTGAAAATTAAATGTCTATACTTTGGATGATTTGTTAAAACCTTTGCATAAATTTGTTCTACCAACCGATAAGATGACCCCCAAAACGCTAAAATGTATCTTTAACTTTTGGTTCTCTGTGTACTATTTTGTCATGCGTAAATGGTTTTGCCCGCAACACGGACATTAACGACTATTAAAGAGATTCTGCCACTTTAATATACTAGAGTGGCATTACCTTAGCCTATACTAAGCATTAGAATAGGCCTACTTAGGTTTTTTCTAAAGAACGAGTACGGTCTTCTGACATTGTTCTTATTTTACTATTTACATTAATGCGAACAAATAGCTTTGTTCATAACCTTTGCCCGCATATCTTT